TTTCTTAAAGTGCCAGATTGAAAAAATATCCATTTTGGAGTTTGAACTCAGGGCTTCACTCTTGCTAGACAGGCTCTCTACAGATAAACTATCTTCAGCTTCTGAGCTTGGTTAACTTAACTCTTGAAATTGCTCCACTGTGTTTTAATAAGACTTTATTTACAGAAATAGGTGTCATGTCCATTTGCCAACATGGAAATATGGCTCTGTCATTTGAGAAGACATTTCAAGTCCCTTCTGTCTGTAGCTGTTTCTCTCTTGCTTGGAATGTTTTTTTGTACACACAGTTAAATATATCCACATCAGCTTTCACTATTGCACAATGATAAAGCACTGAGATGCCACAATAAGGTTCCCAACCAAAGAGCTCCTGAATTCAGGCCCCATGAAGTCCATATTTGTTTCTTCCATCTGAGATAACCAGTGATTGTGATTATCATCAAGAAGCTGAAGGTCAGCTGGTGACTCACACCTATGATTCTAGCTACTAGGGAGGCTGAGATCAGGATAATGTCTGTTCAAGGCCAGGCAAATAGTATGTGAGATCCCTATCTCCAAAATAACCAGAGCAAAATGGACTGGAGATGAGGCTCAAGTAGTAGAGTACCCGCTTTGCAAGAGCAAAACCCTGAGTGCAAGCCCCGGTCCCACCAAAGAAGAAAAAAGAAGAAAAAGAAAAGGAGAAGAAATGGAGGAGGAAGAGGAGAAGGAGAAGGAGGAGAAGCAGCTCATAATTGAAGTAGAGGATCACACAGGACTCTGACTTGATTTCCATATCACCCCCTCCCCTGGTTGGCATAGAAATGATCTACCATAAAAGTGTTTATTTTTTTTTTTTGGTGGCACTAGGATTTGAACTCAGGGCCTCATGCTTACTAGGCAGGTGCTCTACCACTTGAGCCATTCTGTCAATCCAAAATGTTTGTTTCTAGAGTCATTTGGTTCTCTAAATGTGCATGTTCCATATCCTGAATTCAACCATGTACCCAAAATATTGGTAAATAAAACTGTGTCTGTACTGAACACATACAGACTATTTTCTTATTATTCCCTAGATAGTAAAATATGACAAGTATTTACATAGCACTTATACTGTAGTGGGCATTAGAAGTAGTATAGAGATTATTAAAGCATATGGGAGGATGTGTGCAAGTTCTGTACAAATATTAAGTCATTTTGTAGGAGACTGGAGCATCCTGGGGTTCCGCAGTATCTGCAGAGATCCTAGAACCAATTCCAGTGAATAGAGGGATTAGTGTATATTTAAAAAATGTTTTAGCTGGGTTTAACCCAAAACAGTAGGACCTGTGACCAGGACATACACTTGAGTAGTTTATTTTGGGAAGAACTCCAGGAAACTGAAGTGGTGGACCTGCATGGAGGCAGACCTATGGTAGTGGTGAATGGTTGAGCCAGGTACCACTTGCGACCCTTTAGGACTGTGTAGTGTATGTCTTGGAAGTGTCTGCACAGACCTCAATTATCCACTGCCTCCCTCCACACATTGGTCAGGGGAGGCATTAATTTCCTGCCATTTGCAGAAATGAGTGTGACATGGCTGAGAGGACCCCTAGAGGCAGGACAAGGAGTGAGAGCTGCTCGTGGCCATCAGAGAGGCTCTATCAGGCTACATCTGCCGTGAGCGTGCACCATGACACATGTGCATCATTAAAACCTTAAATCAACATGGGTCTATGGACAAATGTAAGTCTATCTTGACCTTTGATGCTTAACCACCCAGTCCTCCTCCCTAAGGTACAAGTTTTATTTATATTTCAGGAGGCATTCCATTTATAACCAGATAAACACTATCTCCCTTGTTTAAACCATTGTGACCTACTGCCCATGCCTACTCAATCGTGCTTTTTAAAATTTGTGTAGGCATCTTTTTTTGGTGGTGGTAGTGGTACTGGGGTTTGAACTCAGGGCCCAGGCTTGCCAGGCAGGCGCTCTACCACTTGAGCCACTCCACCAGCCTTGTGTATGCATCTTGATGGTCGTCACATATGTGTACAAACATACACAGAGCTTTCTCTTCTTCAGCAGAACTGCACAGTATTTCACTTGTGGCTGTTCAATAATTTTCTTCCCCAGCCCCTGCCCTGTACCGATGATTACTTCCTGTATTTTTTAAAAGTCAAGTTGACTTTAAAGCTGAGGCATTACACATATATCTGAAGTAAATGCCACTCTTTTAATTGCACAGTGCTGTAAATTTTAGCAAACACATACAATGGTGTAAATGCATTCTGATATGCCACCCTGTCACTCATTATGAACACCTGGCCATCCTGAAAATGTATTTCTGAAATATCACATATGAAATATCACATCGGATGTAGCTGTTGAAACCTGGTTTCTTTCCCTGAGCACAACGTGTTTAATGCTTAACCGGGCTGTGATTGCTTCCTGTGTTATTACTGGGCGCTGCTCCATGGTACACACACACCACACTTCGTGTCTCCCTTCTGAAGTCATCAGACATGGAGTTGTTTCCGGTTTGGGGACAATTATGAACAAATGTGCTATTTTTGGTACTGGCTTTTGTGTGGATGTAAGATTTTACATCTCTAGGATAAAATCCGAGGACTGGAATTTCTCAGTTTTATGTATGTGAATGCAATCACCAAGCTGATGTCCAAAGTGACTCTGTCATTTTGTGTCCCCACCAGCAACGCAGGCATGCTGGTCAACATTTAGTATTGCCAACTGTTTGCTTTTTGATCATTGTGCATAGTTTTTGTCTACCATAAGCAGTGTTCCTATAACTATCCTCATACGTATATCCCTTGTTATTAGGTGTGAGTGTTTCATGAGCTGCATTCTAAGCTCTAGAATTAATGGCTTAAAGGGTGTGTTAGGCTGATTTGATATTACCAGACAGCCTCTGGATGATGGTACCAATTTGCCTGCCTACTAACTATCGATCGCAGTGCCTGTCTTGCCACATCATCACCAACAGTGTGTTACTCAATTTCATTTCGTGTTTTTATTCATTCACTTATTTATTTTTTAAGAGCTGGGGTCTTGCTATGTTGCCCAAGCTGAACCTGAACTCCTAGGCTCAAGTGATCCTCCTGCCTCAGCCGCTGAAGTAGCTGGTACGATAGCTGTGCACCACCACTTCTGGCAAGTGCATGTTTTTAAAGAAAATTTCCCTTTAGGCAATCTCTGTGTATCTGTTTTTGGTGGGTACTTAACGTAACCTGTGTAGAGCAGCACCTGCTGTACACAGCAATGGATGATAGTTATGGCATGGTTCTCACGACTAACCGATCACATTACCCTTTGCTTCTGTCCGAGCTCCTCCTCAGGTTCTTCAGTAGTACTGCTCTGTAAGAGCTCAAGCATTCCACCCATGGAACTTGGTTAATCCCTGAAAATCTCCTGAGACGCTGACCAGCCAGCCAGGTGGTTGTATGCAACACAGAAGCCTGATTGCACATGATCTCCTAAGGTTACAGAGAGATCTATCTCACAGGGGCAAAAATTGATCTAGCTTGGAATGAAAATTGAGTCCTCTAGATTATGACGGCTTTCAGACTTGAGTTTGGACTGCTACTCACTTTGGTAAGAAATATCTCAGAGGCAAGGAGTGGGATGGGGCATGCCTGTAATACCAGCTACACAGAAGGCATAAGGAGGAAGACCTTGACTCACCCCCAGCAAAAAACGGAGAGACCCTATCTAAAAAATAACCAAAGCATGAAAGGAAGGGGGGGAGTAGCTCAAGTGGTAGAGCATCTGCCTAGCAAGCACAGGGCCGAGTTCAAACCCTAGTACCTCCAATAAATAAATAAAGAAAAAAGAAATACCCCAAGAAACAGAACACACATATATATTCCTCAAACAAAAATGTCAAAAAGCCAAGTTTCTATGTTTTCTGTTTGTTACATCCCATTTCATTGAAAATGAGCTCCTTAGGATTCACTAAGTGGATTTAAAAAAAAAATTCCTTAGAGTAAATTGTACAAAGGGGTTTCGTTGTGATATTTCCATACCTACACACAATCTATTTTGATCAAATTCACCCCCTCTACTTTATTTTTTAGTGGTACTGAGGTTTGAACCCAGGGCCTCACGCTTGCTAGGCAGGCACTTTATCACTTAAGCCACTCCACCAGTCCTTTCCTTTCCTTGTGAAGGGAACCCTCCCCCCAGATAGGGTCTCATGAACTATTTGCCCGGGCTGGCTTCAAACCGTGATCCTCCTATCTCTGCCTCGGGAGTAGCTAGGTTTACAGCCGTGAGCCACGGTGCCCGGCTCACACCCTCTGTTAATAAATAGATTCTACCACTGGGCTGACCAGCATTTTAGAGCCCATCTCTAGAATCTAGGTCAAGGCTCCTCTTATTTAACCAAGTCTTTTGACCTTTCTGGAGGTGGATCCGGAGTCAGGCAATCTGCACTCGGTTATTTCCATCGCACACGCTTCCCATGTCTTTTTGTTCACTTCCTTGGGATGCTACAGCCTGTTTCTTCATCAATTATTCCCCCCAAGGAGCTCTTGGATTCCGTTTGCGCACTGCTCAGTTTTCAAGGCTTTGAAAATAAACTGGTCTGCATTTAGTTATCACCTCCATCATTTGCTGGTCACCTTGGTGAAGTCTTTGGCTATTGAAGACTCAGTTTCCACCTCTGTACAATGGGCATCATCACTGGGACCGCACTGACCTTAGGTGTAAAGATTTGGCACAGCGTCAGGCGCACAGTGAGTGCTTAATACAGTCAGGTTAGTTCTTGAAGCCGCAGAGATGAGCACGGGGCAGAAGCAAAGTGTAAGGCTGCGAGCAGCACCCACAGGTGAAGGCGGGGAATAATCTACTTCCTGGCTCCTCCTCCCTCAGCAAGGCCCACCTAGCGCACTCTCTGATTGGTGAGAATCTCACGCCTACATTCGCCATTCACCCAATCGCGCACGGCATAAACTGAGAGGGGGCGGGGCTGCGCGCGGCCGCGACCCGTGCGCCTATTGGCTACAGACCACGCGGCGAAGTGGGGCGGAGCCGCGCGTGCGCACGGCTGAGGCGCGCCCTTAGCGGCCGTTGAAAAATGGCGACTGTCGCCGAGCTGAAGGCTGGTGAGCGGGAGCAGGGGAGGTTTTTCGGTGGGATGCGTCGCCTGTTAGAAGGCTGGGACGGAAGGAGAGCGCGGGGAACACAGGGTCGGCGTTCGCGGGGGTCGTTCTGCTGGTGTCCGGCGGTGCCGGGCAGGGGCTCTGGGAGGGAGGAGGCTGTCTAGCGCCACTTTAAAAACCGGCCTCGAGCTGGAGGAAGAGCCCGGAGGCTGCGGGTACCTGGGCTCCGGACCCCGCCAGGGCGGAGGGGCGAGGATTCGGCAGCTTGTGAGTCCAGGGCTGACGGTGACAACGCCATGGCCATGGAACCACCTCGGACGGTTTGCGTTTTATGGCAGCCTGCGAAATGGGTCCTGCCTGTCCGTCGGGAGAAAATAGAGGCACAGAGCGTCCCATTCTCCTGTCTGTTATGGAGAAATTGTATCCAGAGTAGTTAGGGATAGGGCTCAGTGGTGGAGCAATTGCCTCGCGTGTGTTAGGGTCCGAGTTCCCTCCCGAACAGCCGACAGCGGTCATTAGTAAGGTCACCTACCGTGCAGCAGTCCCAGCGCCTCGCAGCCCGCGTGCCATCCACGATTCCGTGTGTCAGCCGTCAGCCCTCTGCCCATTTCATAGATTGGGAAGTTGCGGTGCTAAGAGGCGAAGGAGCCGCCCGCAGTAATTTAGCCAGGAAGAGACACAGGGTGGGGAGGCCGGATCTGAGCCAGCAGAGCGCCAGCTGTGCACTTCCAGTTTTCAGAGAACTCAGGGTGTCAGCCGGAAAAAGTTAAGAGATTTGGAGAGGAGGCAGTTGGATGTCTTCGAGAATATGATGAAGTAGCCATCGACCAAAATGTGTATTTGGGACAGCACGCTGGTGAACAGTCATAAGAAAGGCATGCCTCTGAACAAATTCATGCCTCGGCAGTTGACACCTGTAATCCTAGCTACTCAGGAGGCAGAGATTAGGAGGATCGCGGTTGGAAGCCAGCCCCCCCCACCCCCCACAAGACCCAATCTCAAAAAAATACCCACCACAAAAAGCTGGTGGAGTGGCTCAAGTGGTAAGGCGCCTGCCTGGCAAGCGTGAGACCCCGGGTTCAAACCCCATACTGCCAAAAAAGAAAAGACTTCACCTGGATCTGTGTAACCTCTTCTCAGGGAATTGCACGTCACACAATGCCGCATACAGATTTCACAGGACTTAAAGATACTCTATGGGAGATGAGTTGGTTTTAAGAACTCTTTTTCTGAAGAAGGTTTTCTAAGCATAACAGTTAGAATGACCTCCATTCTCAGAAGGGGCGTGACACTGGCTATTAGGAGTGTCCTGCATAGATTTAGGGGGCCCTTTATGTAATTATTTTCTGCATCCCCAAGCTTTCAGTATGCTTTCGTGTCCAAACCCAGTGAAAACTTACTTTCTACCCAGTGATTTTACACTGTATGGGCTTTTTGCCTTTTTTTGAGCATTCCCGTTTTTCTTTGTCACCTGGCTCTTTCTCTGAGGTAGAACTCATTGTCTTGGTGAAGGCAGCTGAAGCGTGGGTTAGTTATCTAACCAAGGTAGTGAAGGTCATGCTAGGTTTCCTGATTCCAGCTTCCTTAGTTCTCATTTTCTGTGAGTTTGAGGATGTACTGTGTGTACTGCAGGGTAATTGGGCAGGATCCCTGCCAGTGCGTGTGAGCGGACCTCTCCATCTAACTTCCAAAGATGGAACTAGAGAACCGGGGTTCAGTTATGATCCTAGCATGATAAGGCTTTATTTTCCTTTTACGGTCCTGTTACAAAGACTGGTTGGTAACTATACTTACTATACCTGCAAAAAGGTTGAAGCAATGCTTTAAAAATGAAGGGAAAGAAGGGGAGAAGTCTAAAGACTATAGCTATTTACTCATATGACGAAGGATTTTTGTTGTTACTTATCAAAGCTTATAAAATTTGATGTCCATACCTATACAGATAAGCTCCCTTTAGGAATTTTCATCATTTTGGTGTACAAATTTAGTGCCTTTGGCAGGCAAAGTGCAGTATTAAATAACACTTACCTCACCAACAGTGCACAGCACTCTATAAGAATGCTCCTAGGTAACAGTTACTGAGCTCTTGCTGTATTCCAGGCGCTGTGGATGAGATCTGGTGACCTCTCTGCAATTGTCATTTAGCCACTTAGGACTATTTGAAAAAGAAAGGTTCCAGACCACTGCAAGGAGTGGTACCAGTTCAGCCCACGCTTCTCCTCATCTCTACCAAGTACTTGTAGCTAAATTCCTTCATCACAACTTCTGATGTTTGTCACAGTGTTCAAGATGTAATTTAAGGTTACATTCAGCGTATCATTCTAACTCCTTAAGGTAGCAGTGATTTGTCCCAAGTTAAATTTTTAACTAGGCATGAAATTTCAAAATCCTACTGTTACAAGGAAGGAGTTAACTCCTAGGTGTCTTTCACAAAACAAAAGCCCAGTAATGTATTCCTTCAGAATGGGCCATTCCCTAAGGATTATAGATATCAAGGGTTTTATGCAAAAAAGCGACATATTCCTTTCTTTTATGGAGTATAATTGTTCATTTTAATCATTTTTGGACCAGAGGTTGTTGGTGATGCCCAGAACCTGTCTGCTGTGATAACCACTCATGATGATGTATAAGAGACTGGGGGCAAGCTAGGTCCTACCCAGTGAGCTAACTAACTCTTTCCCCTTTTTGACTCATTAAAGAATATACGTCAGACTACAACCCTGACAGTGAAGACTATATGGTTCTCTTGAATTTGCTCAAATACATTGACGGTAAATCATGTAAATTGGGAACTTTATTTTTTATTACCAGTGTGACTTGTGATAACATCATTGTCCATTTTGTTCCAGTGTTTATGAAAATCTTTCTTTTTTCTGCAAGACTGGGGGTCAGTCCCAGGGCCTTGCTCATGCTAGGCAGGCGCTGTTCTACTGAGCTACACCCCTTCCCTGTCGTCGTGTTTAGATCCACAGTTACATTTGTACCATTTATCTTTTAAAACATTTTTCTTCAGAGCATGATGGAGAATGACAAAATTTCTTCTATAACTGAAGCATTGCTATTTTATATTTAGGAGGGGTGGGAGGTGGCACAAACCATGTGTAAACATGTAAGTAAATGTAAAAACGATGTAAGGAGAAAGAAAAAAAAGCATTTTATATTTAACAGTTTTAAAGGACACCTTGGAAAAAAAAGGGGTTTTAGGGCATTTAAAAGCAAGAATCCGAGCTGAAGTCTTCAATGCCCTGGACGATGACTGTGAGCCCCGACCATCACTGTCTCATGAAAACCTTCTAATTAATGAGTTAATTCGGGAGTATTTGGAATTCAACAAATACAAGTACACAGCATCTGTCCTCATAGCAGGTGAGTGGCAACTGTTCAGCACCCAAAACAAAATCTGCTTTGCTTTTCTCTAGTTCTCAGAGTGGGAATCTAATTTCGTTAGATTCAGTGTGGGGACATAAAAATCGCATGGGCTTTTATAGCTTGAACAAGTTTTTACTATATGAGAAATAATAAAACTTTCAAATGTAGATTCTTGATTTAATATTAAGTATACATCTTAATGTCATAAAGATTGAGGATTTTTAGTGGTTTAAGGATCTTTAGTGTCAGCATTTCTATTTTCCTCAGTTTTCTGTACATGGCTATATAACACCAGTAACATGCAGAAAAGAAGAAACCTTTGGCAGTATCATCAGCTAGGTGTCTTGAACTTGGTCTTCCCTAGAAGGAAATATAGTGAAAATAGTCAAGTTTTATAATAAATGTTTTGGCTTTTTTAAAAAAGTGAGGTACAATTTATATACAACAAAATTTACCTTTTTTAGTACACAGTTGTATGGATTTTATCAAACACATTCAATTACATGACTACCACCACAGTCACAAGATCTAGGATATTCTATCACCTCAAAAGATTTTCTCATGTCCCTTTGTGATCGACTTCCTCACCCACCCCTCACTCCTGGCAGCCGCTGACCTGTTTTTCTGAACTCATAGTTTGCCTTTTCCAGAATGTCATCTAAACGGAATGGTACAGGGAATACCTTTTTGAGTTTGCCTCCCTGTGCTTGCTCAGCATAGTGCACTGTGATCCAGCCCTATTGTTTTCTACCCCTGCGAATAGCATTATGCACAGGAAAATGGGATGTCTGTGCCAGTTTATTTCTTATCTTTTAGTTGATAGGTGTTTTGGTGGTTTGTAGTTTTTAACAATTATGATTCAAGCCCCAGTAAGCATTAATGTACAAGTTTTGTGTGAAGGTAAACTTGTACTTCTCATTGGTAAATAGGTAAGAGTAGGATTACTGGCTTGTTGGGTCAGTATATGCTTACCTTTATGAGAAAACCACCCAGTTTCTTCCCAAAGTGGCTGAACCATTTGCTCTCTCACCGCTGAAGTATGACCTTCCAATAGCTTTGCATCTGGAAGCAGGATTACTGTCACCAAACATGTTTTTTTTCAAAAATGAATTATTAGTATTGTTATGTGTTGAGTTTACAGGCTTCTCAGAAAACAGATTGAAGTTCAGTATTGTAGTTTAGATGCAGAAAATATTTTTCAGCCAAAAATTGGGGGAATTAAAAAGTGAATTAGGCTGCATTAAGTTATGCAGTAAACAAAATGGATCTATTTTGAAGTCATAAAATAGTTGGCCCTGTGTTGGCATGTGCTGTCATCATTTGTTCAAATTCTGAAAAGTGTGTGTACCTGGGAAGTGTGATTATTATCAAGATCATATTTGCTTTGTAGATTAGAAGACTCAGCATTTCCATGACTTTTTTCTCCCCCAGAATCTGGTCAACCTGTGGTTCCATTGGACAGGCAATTTCTCATACGTGAACTGAATGCTTTTGAAGAATCAAAGGATAACAGGATGTAAGAAGTTTCTTGAAAAACAGTTCTCAGATGTTGTGTATTGGAGTCATAATTGCATGGGGGCAGTTTTATTTCATTTTAAATCTAGCACATACTTTTTCAGTTCTGATGTGTTCAAACATTGCACCCAGTCCATGAGGTGTAGCAGTGAACAAGTCAAGTGAGGGTTCTGCTCCTGAAGCTGAAATTTCTGTGGCTTCAGAGGAATAAGCACCTCTCCTTCCTTCTTTCCTTCCTTCCCTTCTTTCCTCCCTGTCTGTGCTGGGGATGGCACCCAAGGCCTCTGGCATGTAAGCAGGTGCTCCACAGTGAGCTGTACTTCAGTCCTCTGCTTCTTTCTAAGGTAACGCCTTTTGGCTTCTAGATCCTTTTTTCTCCTTTTCCTCCTCCTCCTCCTCTCAGTTGCTTTCTTCTTCTTCTTCATACTTAACTCCTTTTCCCCACTTCATTCTCACTTCAGTTTAGGAATGAACTCAGATCCCTCTTCTCTAAATTACTGCTCGATAACCTTTTTCACTACCAAGTGTACTGAGTCTGCTTTGCCCTCCCTGCAACCTAAATTCTCCCCCACCATTTACACTGAAACCATGCTTGGAAAAGGAGGGCGACCGTGTTCAGTTCCTACGTGTTTCTTAAACTTTTTCCAGAGTCTCTAAATTGGGAAGAAGAGAAAAAGTACCTAGAAGGCCTGCATACATAACTTAAAGCATTCTCCCTCGAAAGAAATTTCTTTAAAGACTTGTTTTCTTTTTCTGAAAGTTCACTGGTTTTTTTTTTTCCATTCTCCTTCATGGTATAATGGTGTTTGCTTTAGCATCAAATGTTTTAAATGACATGCCAGTTAGACTTAACTCTCTCTGTGCATAATTAATGCTCCAGGATAAAGTGCTACCTTGTCTTGAACTTTGTGCCACCTTGTTAGAGCCAAGAGTGGGTGTCTGTGTTATTTCCAGTTTCAGAAGCTCAGTTCTACTTGAGTTTCTGCAGCATTTTGTAAAACTGACTTCCTTTCCTTAAAATGCTTTTTGTCATTTGTTTCTTATTACTCTTTACTGTCCTAGTTTTCCTGCCTCACTAATGGAACTCTGAGTTTCTTCATTGACTCTTTCAACATTCCTGTAAGTCCTGGGCATACCCAGGTTCTGTCTCCCACTTTCCTTTCTTCTTGTCCCCTACCTCCTTTTCTAAGTACTCCTGAGTCTTTAACCTTGCCAGCATACTGGTGACAGCTCTATTTTTTTTTTAATTATTTTTTTTTTTATGTGAATGGAGACATTTATTTTGGGGACATCAGGGGTGAGGGCTCAGTCTTTCTTGGCCTCTGCCTTCCTCATGGCTGCCAGCATGTTGCTGAGCTCCTCCTGCTCCTCTTGGCGGGGATGTGTGTCCCCACCCTTTTCTTGATGAACTTGAGGGCCCGCTTGTCCTTGGAGACCTTGAGCAGCTCCACGGTGCACCGCTTGTAGGGTGCAAAGCCACACGCCTCCCAGATCATGTCCCGTACGAACTTGGTGTGCTTGGTGAGGTGCCCGCGGCACCGCTGTGCCTCAGCTTGCTCACGTTCTTAGTCACTTTGTGGCCCTTGTTGAGGCCCACGGCCATGGGGTAGCGCAGAGCCATGGCTGCCAGTCTTCAATGGCTTCTGGGGTGGAAGGGCCCTGGTGACAGCTTTAAATCTGATCAGTCTTCTGAGTCATGGGCCCACATTTCTGCTGGCTTCTCAAATGCACCTGTCCAAAAACCAAATGTGTTACTCTCATCTCCTCAAACCCTCCTCTAGGTTCTTCATATAGCTGCTCAGGTCTTGCATTTTTGACTTATCTCCTTCCCCTACCAAGCCCTCCACAAGTCCCATTGCTTTTGCCTCTGTAGTATCTGTCCCTGCTCACTGCCAGTGCCATACTGTGCAGGGGCCTTCTGACTAGTTTATCTCCAGTCATTTTCTTTTCAAACTTGTTTTATCCTGCCCTTTCTGAAGGGAGTTACTGCATGGTTTGAAAGTATTTAATAATTTCCATTCTGTACATGACCAAGTCCCAGTTCCTTAGCCTTGTGTTTTGGGTGCTGGCATTTGTTCCCCTGTCTCTAATTGGACTTGTTCGTACCTGACTGTTGTGCCCTGGACACCTTGCAACTTCATGCTTTTTTGCCTTTGCACAAACTCTTCCCCAGCCTAAAAGCCCTGAATCACTGCCTTTTCCCTCCAACTGCTGTGGCAGCATCTTTTGTCTTCTTGGTCATGTTCAGATTGAAGGTTTTTTTTTTTTTTTTTTTGGACTGGGTTTGAACTCAGCTTTGTACTTGCAAAGCAGGTGCTTCACCACTTTAACCATGCCTCCAGTCCATTTTGTTCGGGTTATTTTTGAGATGGCGACTTGAAAACTATTTGCCCTGGCTGGCCTCATACCTTGATTCTTCTGATCTTAGCCTCCCAAGTAGCTAGGATTACAGGCATGAGCCACCAATGCCTGGCAAATATAAAGTTTATGCAAAAGCACGGAAGACTTTGGCATTTTTCTTTTCCTCTTCCCCCATGTTTCTGTGTTTTTTTAAGATTTGATATATACTTTCTTACACGTGTTTCATTCTTTTTTTTTTTTGGCAGCACTGGGGTTTGAACTCAGGACCTCATGCTTGCTAGGCAGGCACTCTACCACTTGAGCCACTCCACCAGCCCTCATTCTTATAGTTAACTGTTTGCTTATTCTGTACTAGACAAGAATCTTTAAGAAATTATGCAAAAGTCAGGTGTGATGATGCATGCTTATAATCCCATCAGTTAGGAGATTGAGACTGGAGGATCTCAAGTTTCAGACCAGTCTAGGCTACTTTGTGAAACCCTGCCTCAAAACAACAATAGGAGCCAGGTGCTGGTGGCTCACACCTGTAATCCTGGCTACTCAGGAGACTGAGATCGGGGGAACCAGGTTCGAAAGCCAGCTCTGGGCAAATAGTTCAGAAGACCTTATCTCAAAAAAACCCATCACAAAAAAAGGGCTGGCGGAGTGGCTCAAGTGGTAGAGTGCCTGTCTAGCAAGTGTGAGGCCCTGAGTTCAAATTCCAGTGCTGCCCAAAAAAACAGAAACAAAAATCTCTTAAAAATTTTAAATCTTTTTTTTTTTTTTTTCATTTTTCTTTTATTATTCATATGTGCATACAAGGCTTGGTTCATTTCTCCCCCCTGCCCCCACCCCCTCCCTTACCACCCACTCCGCCCCCTTCCTCTCCCCACCCTTAATAAAAAATTTTAAATCTTAAGCAAATTTTATCATACATCAAAAATAAAATTTAAACATTTAGCAGTCTTGAACAAGTTGACTCAGTGGGACAAAGTGGCTCAAAGGGTACAAAAAGATGAAGTCTTTCCCAGGACAATGCTTTCCTAAGAACTGAGACATCTTGTTAGAGAATCTTACTTCCCTGCTACCCTTCTGGTGTGGAAAAGCTACTTGCTCTACAGTTACTTATTGCTCCCTAACACAAAGTACCCCAGAATTTGGTGGCTTCAAACAAATATGTATTATGTGAACTATTGGGAAATAGATTTAGCTGGATGAGTCTAGCTCAGGGTTTGTGAGGTTGTAGGTTGCAGTCATCTGAAGGATTGACTAGGGCTGGAGAGTCTTCTTCCCAGTGGCTCTCTCCACATTGTGGGTGAGAGGCCTCAGCTGCTTGCCACATGTGTGTCTCCATGGGGCTGCGTGAGTGTCGTCAGGCATCTGCCTTTTCCCAGAGGCAGTGATCCAAAATACCCCTCTATTAAGCCTTAGTCTCTTTCTTAGAAGTGAGTGCAGTGACTGGGGGTGTGGCTCAAATGATAAGAGCACCTGCTTTGCAAGCATAAAGCCCTGAGATCAAACCCCAATTCCACCAAAAAAAAAAAAAAAAAAAGTGAGTGTAGCTCACTCATTAAGGCAAGACAGTTAGCTTCCATTTTTGAATGAAGTGTCATACAACGAACCGTCGATATCGGTGTAGGTAGATATCTCAGAAGATGAATCCATTTAATTGTGTGTTCTATGATGAAATTGGAAACAAAGGAAAGCCCTGTGACGCCAGCAAGGCAAGGCTGCCTTCATTTGTGCCAAGTAAAATTTGTCAGAAGTAGACTTGGGAACTGCAGCGTAGGCATAAGCTTTCTTCCTGTTCTGAGGGACTCTAACATATCTTCTCTGAGCTATGGCTTTCCCAGTCATAAACTGAGGGTGATTATGACGTCACCAAGTGAGGATAAAATCAAAAGCAAATTTAAGAACAAAGTAGCTCTTAAAATATTAGCTGTTACCCAACTCTTGTGTAGCCAAAACTGTATACCATTTAGCATATGCAAGGCACAGTAGTAAACACTTGACATTTATGAACTCATGTGCTGCATAACCACTTGGTGACATGGGAACTGTGCTTATCCCCATTTATAGAGGAGGAAATGTTTATGAAGCTGGAAGAGGTGGTTGAGAATATTGTCCCAGATCCCACAGACAGCAGATGCAGAGCCAGGATTGAGACTCATGCAGTCTGGCTCTCTGGATGTGAGACTTCCTCTGGGCCGTGGTTATTCAGCCGGTGTTTACTGAGCACCTACAGCAGTATATTAGACTGTGTTAGGCACTGGGCAGTGTCACGCTGGACTTGGAGTTTGCAAGCTGAATTGCTGTGAATTGACTGAAATCTGATTTCAGTTCAGATGAATTTTAACTTGTTAATGTACTTTCTCTGGGTTTTAAAATTGTTATTCCAGGGACTGGTGGAGTGGCTCAAGTAGTGGAGTGCCTCCCTTGCAAGCTTTAATTAAGCCCTGAGTTCAAACCCCACCAAAAGAAAAAAGAAAAGGAAAGAAAAAGCTTGGGTTAAAATTGTCATTTAAGTTCAGTGGTATTTTTAAGTTGAAGAGTATGAACAGTTTTTCATTTGAATAACAACCATGTGACTTTTTAGGTCTAGCAAATTAGGCCATTTAAGTGTTAAAGCTTATCTTTTTTTTCTTTTTGGTAGTACTGGGGATTGAACTTAAGTGTCACACCTCAGTCCTTTGGCTTTTAGTTTGTTTTTTCAATAGGGTCTCATGATTTTGCACAGGCTGACCTTGGACTGCAGTCTTCCTGCCTCTGCCTCCTGAGTAGCTGGGATTACAGACTTGTGCTACTATTCCTGGCAGAGTTTATGTTTTATAGTAAATGTTTTAACCTTTTCTTGTTTATGCAAAGTTAATGATTTTTTGTTTTCTTCCTGCTGCAGACCTCTTCTGTATGGAATTTTAGCTCATTTCTTGCATGGTACTAAGAACAGCTTCCAAAGTGCATTTCTGAGCCAGTCTTCACTCCAGCTTCCAAATCCTCGTCTCGGTGATGGGAGAAAGCCGATGGGTATGAGTTTTCTGAGATTCCTCCTTTAACTTCAGCAAGAGGTTTTCTCCCTGTACATTTTTGTCTCTGGAGGAGTTTTTCCTGAGCTTTTGAGTCACAGTTTAATTCTGCTTCATCTTGTATAATTAGTCTGTGTACTTAATCTTCCCAAATCAATGTTTTCTGGGAAGCAAATCCTGAAGGGGCTAGGGGATGACTGGAAAACCTCCTTAGATATTCCTCTACTGAAGTATTGAAAAACCTGATTTTCACATAAATTTAGAATCTTTGGAAAGGCTTAGATTCTTAGCATGCTGAACAAATAGTTTTTACCAGGTGATCTTTTCTTCCCCCCCCCCTTTCAGACTGAAAAATAAAAGGCCAGATTGCTGGCTGCAGTTAGAGTCATGGCTGTATGTGTCCTTTGCGTTTTCAGAACACTTTCCATAGTAGATAGTAGTTATTTACAAATAATAAGTTCTTAGGAGAATAGCTCTTTTTTTTTTTTTTTTTTTTTAAGAATGCCTTGCCATTGTTTCAATCCATCAGGAGTAGGAGCTCAGTGTGACGTTTGATTGGGTGGGTGAGAGCTCTGTCTTCACCTGTAGTATAGGCTTCTCTTTCTCAGAAGGACAGTTACAGTGGGGCTCAGGCAGCTGGTTAGCAGGACAAATATAACTCTTGAATGCTGAAATGAACCTTTAGGAAGCACCTCAAGTGTGAATTGCCTTTTCCTGACTGCTGTGGCTGAGGCTGGCTGTGTCGGACACTAGCTGTCTCTTAAGGTCTGAATGTGGAATATTTGTGAACCAGGAGAGCCTCATTTGGAGGTTACTTCTGACTTCACTAGGATGTCTCCTGCTGTGTATCAGAATCTGAGTTGGATTGAACACTGGAAAGGAAATCATGCCTACTTACTTTATTGTAAGGAAACCAAGACTAAACGGTTAGTGCCTCACCACAGGCCTGGAGCAGGTGGTGATCTGCGATTGCCACCCCTGCTTGCCATTCCTGTGCACCCCTTCATCGAAACTATGGAGAGATTTTCCAAGTTGTCTTTTCAGGAATTGGTAAGGAGCTGACCTGAGCGCTTAGTGCTGTTGGGCAAATACTTACAAGACAAAGTAAAATGTTGATTGTGCAAGTTTGTGAATAAATCTCCAAAAACTTCAAGTAATACAAAGTTCCCTTTAACCTCTTCCCTCCTTGCCTCTCCCCAACTTCCCATTCATTCTCCTCCCTGCCATGAAAGGTAGGTGCCCCACTACCATTTTGGTTAGTATCTCTCAGGACTAATTTCTATGTGTTTAAATATTTACGCAGTGATACCGTGTGCGTTTGCTTTTTAACTTTCAATATGTGTAGACCTCTTTGGTAGTGTTTCATGGTACTGCTACAGTCCTTCTTTACTATGTACTGTTTTTAATGTTTTGGTTTTACAATGTTGCATTGTAACACCCTTTGTCCACACATACGTCTTACTCCTGTGTGGACACCTAAAGTAGAATTGCTTGTTCAAAGTATGTGCATATTAAAATATAATTGATATTGTTTAAGCCCCTTCCAGAAAGACTTTACCAGCTTACACAGTAAACAAGACTATGTGACAGTATCCAGTTGCCACTGGTGGTTGGTGACAGATACATTAACACTTATTCACACAGCAACCCCCAAAATTGATTTTAGTCTCAGAAGGAGAAATAGACTCCTGAAAAATAACTTTTCAGGTTTTAATCTCCTTAATACTCGTGCTAATGACTAGTGAGAAAGAAGTAACAAGAATATTTCTTAACAAAGTTTTGTTCTGAGATGAAAGTCACAGATAAGCTCCAGGTAGCCTTACTCTCAGGGAGGAGGAAGGAAGGTTGGGGGAGAGAGAAAGAGAGACCCCTTTCAGCATGGAGATGTCTGAGTGGGCTTCATGTCAGTAAAGTAGCCTTGGTGCCTATTCTATGGAAAGCTCCAGAGAAAGCTCAGAATGAGGAGAACCGAGAGCCAGAGGCACAAGAACAGTGATTTGGCAAATCATTTTCTTGGTCATCTGAGATCTGCTTGGCACAGCCGTGACCTCCATGAGCAATGGCTTGAGAAGAACATCAGCCAAATATCACAGCATGTTTCAGTGACACAGTGACTTGCTCTGCTGTCTGAAGCTTTGTAACTTTGGTCTGACAGCCCTGAGAAGGTCGTGAAGATTAAAACAATTACTCTTCAGCTCACAGCACTCCAGTGCTACTCAGCTCATCTGACTGCAATATGACACCAAGGGAATTTTCCTTCCTTTGAAAAGAGTCCAAAGCAAGCCAAGACTATAGCACTTCTATCACCAAGTTTTCAATGTGCTAGGAAAGGGGATTGGATGTGCACACCCCTTCACAGTGACAGCCAGCTCAGTAGGCCTGCTGCATTAGCACTTGCAGTCTAAGAGGCAAAGTAGTTTTCTCTCTAAATAAAAGTTGAGATCTTTATAATAGAGAAGACCTTTATCAGCTCAACTTTATTGCGCATTTAGCAAGTGCAAAAAAATAAAACTTCCTTTTAAAATAATACTTTTCTAGAAGCCCTAAAATTGTCATGTTCTAAGGAAAGTCTTCATTTTGTTCTGTGCAGCAAATGTGTGTGAACTTGAAGGAGAGAGAGCTTCATGCAATCTAGACCTAGAAAGTGGACTGAGTCTCAAGGCTAATCAACTGAGGGCTTACAGCACTATTAGGAACACCACATGTTCTGAAGCATTAGAAAATTTGTTAGGTGCTTTCAGTGCTAAAATTGCATTATTCCAATATCTTGTCTAAATTTGTGTTTTTCTCTTGTTACCAAAATTTTCATGAGAGGTTTTTTTTTTTTGGTCAGTTGGAGAAGTGTTTGGGGTTGTATTCTTAGAAACCTAGAGGGGTACTTTTTTTTTTTTTTTCTGCTGTTGTTTTTTGAGACAGGGTATTACTATGTAGCCTGTCCAGTGCTGGGATTACAGCGTTCACCACCACACCTGGCTCAGGAACCTAGTTTTTGCATTGCATTTTTGTTGCCTTTGTATAGTAAGTCTCTTGGGGTTCTTTTAATCTAGAATACTTCTGTTCCAAAGGAAATTGATCAACGAGACTGTTTTTACTATTGCCAAAGTACCATGAGTGGCCGAGGACTCTGGCTCCTCCAGCCTCTCAAGGAGCTTTGCTGTCTTTGGTTTTATTTCATTTTGTTTTGTGTATTTTGCAGTACTAGGGATTGAACTCAGGGCCTGACAGTTGCTAGGTGGGCTCTGTGCCACTTGAGCCACACCCCTAGCCCACATAGAGCTTTATTGTCTTGTTTTGGACTTTTAAGAACATTCTCCACAACTTCAGGATAGTTTCACAATTTTGGTAGGATCCAAATTGTGCCTGTTTTGTTGTTGTTGTTGTTTTTGCCACAAGAGGGTGCTGCTGGGAGGGTTTCTAGCTGAAGGTTTTTTTTTTTTTTAAAGGAGCTTTGGCCTCCCTTAGCGTCTGATTGAATAACCTGTCCTTTCTTGTGGCATCCCTTCCTTACATACAAGAGAGAGTCTGGTAACTCATCACTCTGTTCACTTACCAAAAAAACCTAAACCTAAACTATCTGTGGAACTCATAAAATATTAAATATGCAGCATCCTAAAATATGTGTAGTTCTATCTACCCATCTGCCGATTTTTAACGTTGGTTTCTGTTTCTTTCATTCCAGATGACCACCTGAGAAGGGAGAGAGGGATGGGCACTGCTACTGATACTCTTCACACTTCTCCAGCAGTGAAGAGATGACACTTGTACCCAGAGATCTTTTATCTCAAACTCGATTGTGCTACATAACTATTTATTACTCCAACATTACCAACATGCACCACTACTATTTGTATTTTGGGGGAACTTGAGTTTCTGCAAAAACACTTAGTCCCTCAGGTTTTACTGCATTTGTGAATAAAAGCTAACTCTGTCATCTGGCTTACTGGATATGCCTGGATAAAAAATGTATTGTTTTTAAGTAGTATTTTAAAGGTCCTTAAGTTTGTGAAAACTGAGAGTGCCTTTTTAATACTTTGTTCTAAAACCATACAGGTCTTTAGCCATTTCTCTGCTTGTTAATGTTAAATTTAATTTAACATTAATTAAATTTCCTTCAATTAGAATGATGTGGACTTGAAGAAAATTAATTCATGTTTTGAAAAAAACATAACCAGAAAATTCCTGTAAAGTTTGATTTTTTTTTTTTTTAAAAAGTAGCTGTTTCTCAGATAACCATTCATAATTCGGCTTAAACGTGTGAATTAATACCTAAAGTTGAGCTTTTAAACTAGGTAACAATGTTCTTTTTATCTTCTTAGACCATTTTGGCTTCTACTGGAGGATTTAATTAAAAGGTAGAAGGGGGAAGTAATTCTTTTAATTTTGCTGTAACTACAACAAAGACTTCATTATGGAAGAATGTGAATAAGCATGAAGAGACTGGTGCTGGAAGAAATAACAGAAAGTGACTTTAATAGATGGCATTGTTCAAGCCACACGAGGCCCAGTTGTGCAATTGCTGATAGCTATGAGAGGTCAAGCCCAGTTTACCTGGGCTTTCAATAGTTTTATTTGTGGGACAGAAAAGTGGTAAGAGCTCATAGTGCTAGCTCTACTGCTACTTTGATGTTTATTAAGGAAGCTTTTATAGGGTAATCAACAGGCTCATTTCACTGAAAACTACTGTTATAGTATATGGCTCCTGACTGGCTTTTAAGCCTATGTTGTCTTCAGAATGAAGCTGCCCCAGGTGGTCCCACCAGGACAGGGAGGGCGGTAGTCAGCCATCTTGGCACTCCCTTCAGTGTGCTACCGTGCTGATTTTGAAAGTTACTGGCTTTTCTCATTTTGTATTTGGTGATGCTAGTCAGGGTTCACCTCTTACAGATCAAACATTTTAATCTAAATGCAGAAAATTACGAAGCCTTACATTACCAGTCAGAAGACTTTGAGAAGCCCTGTTGGTGGGTTAAAATGACGAGTCGTAAAAGACCCGCTTCCATTTTCAGATCTGTGAGACAGTGGGTTCCATTGTGTTGTGGTGGGAATGTATCTGAACTCTCTAGGAGGACTCGGTTTACATTCGAGGGTGTTGGCAGTGGGCTTAAGCTTACCTCAGGAATTGCAGTCATGTAGGACTAGATTAAGAAAAAAATGCTGGTGGTTATAACTTTGGATACTGATATAAAGCCATCAAAATGGAAGCTAAACAGAATTGTCATGTGTGGTACATAGTGCTTTTACGTGCACTATTCTGTAACTCCCACCTGGGCAACTTTTATACTCTTAATGTGTCAATAAATAAATTAAGCAACTTAACCCTTTGTGCATAGGGCGTTCATGTCACTGATCTGTCATCAAGAGATGTGCATCAGAAGCCAAGCACCCGTGGCTCTTGTCTGTAATCCTAGCCACTTGAGAGGCTGAGACTGGGAGGATTATGGTTCAAGGCCAGCCCAAGCAAACAGTGCTTGAGACTCTAACTCCAAAATATCCAGAGCAAAGTGGACTGGAGGCGTTGCTCAAGTAGAAGAGCGCCTTTGCAAGTGGGAAGCCCTGAGTTCAAACACCAGTTACATACATGCACACACACAGGGGTGTGCACCAGAAAAGTATAACTGGAGGTGGCTCTGCCTCGGTCCGCTGCTCAGAGGCTTAGCTGTAGGAGAGTGTGGGTAAGCGTTGATGTGTGGACACTTGCCATCACTGTATCACCTTGGAGCCTTATTTCTCATGAGGTGGCCCAGGTGGTGTCAGCTGGGCAGCCTCACGACCTAGGCAGCCATGGATGGCGTGAAAAAGCACACCTTTTTGGAAAAGAAAAACCCGTTTTCAAAACACTTGAGATTTTTATGATATATCCCAAAACAAGGACTTTGGTGTTCTTAAAACATGAAAGTCTGCTCTAGAAATTTCTAAACTTGAGACTTACAAATAGAATCAATTAATTTATAATCCAGTAGTTTAAAAAGGTGCATGGGCTGAGAAATTCAGAACGTCCGAGGAGAGAAAAAGCACAAGCACGGGTGGCCTGCCAGCTGCTCTGAGATGGGAACATTTTCTTGGGGTTGGGAGAAGTTCCTGTCTAGAAAAGCCAGACAAGTTTTAGGAAAAAACTTGATTCACAAAAAATAGGATGGGAATGGGATCTGACGAGAGTTTTAGGGTAGGGAAATTTAAAATGGGTAAACTGAAAACCCCTTGCAGGCGCAGAGCTGGCTTCTAACGGTGATAGATCTAAGCGTAGTGTATATGCTTGCATAGGATAAACTGATAGCTTAATAATTACGTGCAAGAAGCTGTGTGTATGTGACTCACATGCCTGTCCGATTATGTAAACTCGATGTGTCCTTTTATCCAGCAGCCAAGGGTCCGTGAGGGCTTAGCAGTTGTGAGAATGAGCCTTTAAAGGCACGGGGACAATACTGCTCAGACACTTGGTATTTGATTTCTGCAACAACTGTTAGGCAAGGATTATGTGGTCTTCATGAATTTTTTTTTCAATCAGTGAGTTATAACTACCTTCTTAAAAATAGATTTAATTTTTCAGAGCAGTTTTAGGTGCACTAAAACTGAATTGAGTGGAAAGTACAGAGCTCCCATCTACCCCTCTTCTCCCCCAGCCTCTCCCACTGTCGTCATCCTGCACCAGAGGCTGCCACGGTTACAGTGGGTGACCTGCACTGACACGTCATCCTCGCCTAAAGCCTGCAGGAATCACTCTTGGTAAACATTCTGTGATTTTGGACAAATGTATTCACCATCATTGATTTTACAGCACGGTTTCACTGCCCTAAAAAAAAAAATCTCTGCTTTGCCTATTTTTTTTCTTTTTTTTTGCCTTTTGCAGAGTATCATATGGCTGGAGTCATTCATTTAGTAATCACTTTTTTTTGGTGGGACCTCAAACTTGAGATCCTCCTGCCTGCACCTCCCAAGTGCTGGGATTACAGGTGTGCACCTCCACGCCTGGCTCAGTAATGTGCCTTCACATCTTCATGGCCTTATAGCTCGTGTCTTTTTTAGCGCTAAATAACACTCCATTCACATTTTGCCCATTATAAATAAAGCTGCATTTGTTTGCAAGTTTTTGTGTGGAAATAAATTTTCAACTTCATTGTGTAAATCCCTAAGAAGTGTGGTTTGCTGGATCATCTGCAAAGAATACGTTTGGTTGTCTGTTAAAAAGAAAAAATCCGGAAGCTACAAGTACTGTTACTGAGAGTTTTGGGCCCTTCCTGAGAAAGGCTGAGAATCTTCAAGATGCAGACCAGAGTTGAAATTGACAATGAAGGAGCCAATGTCGCAGGTACTTCGTGATGCAGGCTTGCGCCTTGAGAGTGCAGCTGACCTGTCTTGTGGTTGGCAATGACACGCTTCACAAGGAGGCAGGTCTAATTGGAACCAACTTGGGCTGATCCACCCTCAAGTGATTCAATCCTGAAGCACATGCTGGGACCCAATCTTGGATATTACTAGGCCCTGGAGGGACAACTCTTTGGGGCTTTTTGAGGCCAGTAGCAAATAAAAAGCTGTTTTGATAAAAGACCAACAGAGAAATTCCCCTCTGCCATATTGTTTCATGAGTTCATGGAAACTCCCCTTAAACAGCCACGCAGAAAAAAATACCAAGGAAAATTACTTGACAGCACTCAGTCAAAATGGCATTTTGTAAAGTAGCTTTTTTCCTTCAATCTTAAAATAACTGACCTTTCCAGGCATGAGAAACAAAACTGAGGCCTCTCATTTAATTTGTAGAACAATGCACCCTGAAGCTTCAAACGACTAAGCTTCATGCATTGCAGATATTTACTGAGTGACTATTAAGTGAACATACTGTCCCCAGGGTACTTCTAGAGCATGCCAGGAAGGTATGAAGTCATTTATATAAGACCCCAACTTTGCATATTTAACAACCAGCAATGCAGTGGCCTGATCTTTGCTTTTCCCTGAGGACACTGGTGCAGAGACTCACTGTCAGCCCTGTCACTGCCTGACTGGTGTTTAGTGGATCTGAGGAGTGCAGCTCAGGGGTAGAGCCCTTGCCTAGCATGGGCCAGGCCAGGCTATGGGTTCCACCATAGCACCACCACCACCACCACCAAAACAAAACAGAAAGTGCCTTAGCTTTTATCTACTTACGATGGGCTCTTACTGGGCCAGGATTGGAGTTCCTTCTCCTCCACTGACTACCTCGCTACCTTGGCCGGGTATATAACCTCCAAACCCTGATCCTCAACGGTAGAATGGAGGGTAGGGACCTACTTCATAGCATTAGTACAGGGTTTAGGTGACACAATGTGAAGTTGATCGCAACAAGTGTCCACTTATTAATAACTTACTCTCTGCTCAAAGTTGCAACAAATTCTAAAAGAATCAGTTCAGCCTTGCCAGGTGTGCCAGCCCTTCCTTTTAGGGTGGATTGGGACAGCCTGCTGTGAACTCTCCAGGACAGGCTGGGGTGATCCACCCGGCCTGGTCTTCCCTGCTGTTACCTCTGCATAGCCAGAGATGATTTCCACTCCTTTTACAGTGTAGATGTGAGAAGGCATGCGGGGAGCCAGCCATTCATCACTTTCCAAAGAGCCTCCCCCCAGCCAATCCCCAACCAACCTCCCCAGCCTTTCTTGACTCTGATTCAGGTCCAGCCGGGGAGGGGGAAACTGGGCCCAGATGTGTTCTAGGGTGGCAATCAGGTGAGCTTGGGGTTAGAAGGATACAGAGGGGCCCAAGAGAGGTGCCCTGCTCTGTCTGCAGAGGGGACTGTGAGGCTGCAGGAGACCCTAGGGTGCGTGGCCCTTCACCTCCTAGGACCTGGTACAGCTGGACTTGGAATCATATTTATTGAGAAATACTGCCGCTAATCTGGAGTGCAGTATGTTCATTTCACAGCTGCTTATGGACTGCTTACAAAAAGTCAGGAAGTAGTTGACGCACTTCCCATTTTACAGATAGGGAAACCGAGGCACGGGGGAGTTGGATTTACTTGTCCATTAAGAACCAGCTAGAAAATGGTACTGACAGACTCAGACATCAACCTCTGAGGGAGACCTGCCCTTGGCCTTGCCTGGCTATTTC